CTTCCGAGGTCCCTTCCAGCCCTAATGTCTATGAAATGTGTGGGATTTTGGTCAGGTCAGCTTTGAAGTTTTTCCCAGCTTGCCATAACAAGGAGCAGCCTAAGGCTGGGGGGAGTGGAGGGGTGGTTGATTGGAGACAGGGCACACATGCATGTGGCTGGCATGCAGCCAGGCAGGGTGGTGGGAGTAGCTTTGGCAGCTGGATACAGATAAATCTGTTGGGGTAGGGGCTGGAGGGCCAGGGCTAGGGACTATCAGGGGAGCTATGTGAGGGGGAGGGGGAAGCACTTGTGTGTGGGTGTGTGAGGGGGGCAGGTGCCTGCCGGCATTGGGAGAGGCTGTCCAGGCACTGGGGCTGCGGTAGGGCAGGGGAGATGGGGGGATGTGCCTGCCCCTCCAGTGTGGGAAGGGGACAGAGGGACCCCTAGGGTGCAGCAAGAAGCTGCACGGCTGGGCCAGTGGTACTGGGGCTGGTGCCTGTGCTCGCAAGGGCAGGGTGTCCAGAAGACACTGCAGGGCTGGGGGGCAGAGGGGCCTGCAGATAGGGAGTGGGGCTGTGGCTTGGGAGTGAGAGGCACCAGGGGGGTGTGGGACTGTGGGTCAGGAGTGTGGGGCACTGGCAGTGCCAGAGGTCTGTGGGTGGGGAGTGAGGGGCACTAGTAGGGCTTGGGGGGGTGGGGAGGACTGTGGCTCAGGAGTAAGGGGCAATGGAATGGGCAAGGCACCAGCATATCACTGCCCCCCACAATCATAAACCCCACCTCCTCCCCCCCGCCCCCTAACCACATGAGAGGTGTCCTCTTTTTTGGAACTGAAAATAGGGTAACCCTAGCTTGGAAGCTCTATCATTTAGTCTTGATGCAAATGCATATTTCAGTTTGTGTAGGTCACACATGTTCAGAACAGACTATCAGAAACAGCCAAGCTTCTCCTTTAAACTCCAGCAGCCTTTTCAGTATCTATTTCCCAAAAGTGTAGTGGGTGCTGTGTACTCACTGAGATAAATGTTGAGTGTGATAGAGCAGTATTAGTGCTCCATCACTTTAAGGGCTAGAGCAGGGAGCCAACAGGTGGTTGATGACAGCAGCCAATTTAGAGCTCAGTTTTAAAGATAAGAGGGAGCAGTTTATGGTTATCTGCCACAGAGGCAACATCTAGCCAAGCCAGTGCTCCAGGAACATCTTGGAGGTAAGGGTGGGGCTATGGGGAAGGAGGTGGCGTCATGGTCCTGAGCATGACCTGAAATTGACCTCTGTCAGGGAAGAATACTCTGGTGGGACTCCTTGTGGTGAGGGAGTCCCCAGGAAATACCAGGCCAGTTAACTTCCCCAGTGAAAGGTGGGTAGGGGCTCCTTAACCCCAACCCCCACCATCCATTTAGTATTGAGAGCAGTGGGCCAGGCATGCTGAGGGGAGCACCTGAGCCTACAGGGGTGTTCAACCCCAAGCCCTCATAGGAGGGTGGAGTATTGAGAGAGGGCGGTGTTCAGAAGTCCTGGAGAGGGGGTGCAGTTGAAAAGCCCAAGTGAGAGGGCAAAGAGTTGACAGCATAGGTGAGAGGCTGTGGAGAGGGAGTGTTGTTGAGAGGCCCTGGTGGAGGACAGCAGTTGAGTAAGGCTCAGTGTGTGCCCTGGACTGGAAGCCGGGTGCTAGGTCAAATATGTGAAGACCCGGTGTGTGCCCCAGATTGGAGGTCGGGTGCTAGGCCATGATACATCTGTGAGGCACAGGACACATATAGGGAAGGTCGAAGTGTGTACAGATCACCCACTTTACAGCTGGGCACACAAAGGACAGCCTCCTGCCTGTTAACATCAAGAGTAATCAACCAGGTGTGGCAGGCAAATGAGGCAGGCGATTTGCCCATGGATGAGGGATTGGCTTGAGGAGTTTGCCCCATTGACATTGAGCAATCGAGTTTAGGTGAGAAACAATGAGGTCCACAGTTCAAACTTTAGGTATGCACATGAGAGAAGTTTAAGGACCCGCTGACTTTTGTAAAATGTTGTTTTGTTTTTCCTGAAGGCTCTATCACACAAACCCCTTGCTCCAATGACATCAGAATGTAGATGATTAACACTACCATGCACCCATATGAAGCACACTCCTCCATCCCCACCAAAAAAAAGTGTAAGAGAAAACTGGCTGAAGTATCCATGTCCAGCTGGCTGTGCCATTGTTGTCAGATCTGCATTAAAAAATGCTGCAAAGCTGATAAAAAGAGATTTATTAGCATTGTTAATATTACTTACTAAATCCTTTCAGTTTCCCACTGTTCTATGCCACCCAGTGTATGTTGCCTTCTTTAGTCAGCTCCAAGGATTATTCTCTTAATTACTAGGACCCATGATGGGGTTCTGAGGGAGGAAATATTGAAGAACCTCTGCTTGCACGGATTCTCATGCTGTCTTGTCAAAGAAGCATAGTATGCTGGGATCACATCAGTTCTGAATCTGTAGAAGACAAAGATCAACTGCATAGAGGCCCTCTATCTTTCTACTGTTCCCTGACCAGTCATCCCTTGGTTACCCAGTAGCTCAGCTCTTTTGTAACTGTGCTTACCAGGCAGCTCCTCCTTGTAAGTAGCTCCAGCAGCTGACCCATGGATGGCAGAGGGTAAGGCTGGGAAAAATCATTCAGCCCAAGTCTGACTAATGGCCTGAGTTTCAAAGGTGATAAGCACCCCCAGTCACTGAAGGCTACACCTCTGCAAAGCAGGCCACTTTCTTACATAACCAATTATAGGTTTTATAGGTCCAACTTTAGGTTTCCAAGTTAATTTGTTGCTCTTGAATACAGCAGTGGACAGACAGCTAATTAACACATATTTGCTTATATTGGGTGGGAAAAAGGTACAATTTATATTTTAGAAAAATATACTGTATTTACTAAAATAGAAGATGACCCTGGATATAAGATTACCCCCTCCCCACCAATATTTAGATTCTATATATGGAAAAATTATAATTTTCCAGTTATAGATTCTAATTATTCGAGGTTTACCTTGAATTTGTCTCACTCCCACTGCTACAGCAGGGAAAATAAATCTGGGGGTCAGCCCCCTTGCCCTCTGTCTCCCCCCAAGCTTCTTCCCCCTCCAGCCCCTTCTCCACCTCATTACTGTCCGATTCTGCTTTTCCTAAGAACATGGAAATGAGCAAATGTGAAAACACTGGGCCTGTCTACATGAGATGCCTTAATGTGCAGTGGACTGTTCTACTGCACATTAGCCGATCATGGCAAAAAACATGTGAATGTGCTAATGTGCAGTAGAATTAGTCTACTGTGCATTAAGTTTCACACAAAAAATAAATTTAAAAAAAATCACCTTTGCTACTGTGCATTAGCGCAGCTACTGCACTTTTATTTAGTACCTCATTAGAGGTACTAAACTTAATGCACAATAGCAAAGGTGCATTAACGAACATATAGATGCGCCCACTGATCTTGAAATTAACATACCTGTAGTAATTTGCATATCGTACCCACTATAGTACCCATTGTGTCCACTAAGTGATGATGCAATGTACTCTTTTGCAACTGCTGAAATTTTAACACAAGTAATCCATAAACACAATTTTAAGCAGCACTATTATACCTACTTATACATAATAAAAACTACACATGACATTAGTCCAAAGCCAAAAGGTTCATGATTTACAATATAGCTCATTGGGCTAAGACCCAAGAGAGGCAAAAGCATTTTAAGCCAACATGACCCCACTGCTCAGTATACATGTGTGTACTCCAGATACCCCCTACAAGGGATCCATGTGCTAATTAGTCCCCTGCTCATGACTGGAATCAGGTGTCATGTCTTGTCATGAGTTCTGGGATTCTCACATTAATGGGTGGGACCACACTGTTCATAAACAACAAGCTGAGAGAGGGGGCAACAGAGGGATTCTGGGTAAACTGTTTGAGGTCCTGTTTGGTGATGTTTGCCAGACATTTAAGGCTGGAGGAGAAAAAGGAATAACTGGAAAGGCACAGCTCAACTGTGGGAGTGAAGAGGAAGTACAAGTATATGCAATGTAGTGGCTCATGACAACTAGAAAGAGTCTGTACTGAGAAAGAATTCACTCAATGGGCAGTACCATATATATATATAGAGAGAGAGAGAGAGAGAGAGAGATGAACTGTACTAGTAGCCTATCCTTGTGTTAGGGGGTCCCATCAGCATGTTTCCCCAATACGAGCCATGTGTTTTATAGTCACATTCAGTGTAGGCTGCATTTAATTAATTTCATAGTTGGTTTCCATTTTCTGAGCACATGATGCTTTAGGCAGCAGTTTAATGATAGCCAATGTATTTAATGAGGTTTCCTTGTATATAAATGTAAGATGAGGAACGTTTTTCCCCATGCTGATTGAGGGAAAAAAAAACTCATCTCATTTGACTAAATATGCTATCTTGAATAAAAGAACATTTAGCCAAGTCCCAAAATTCATGTATAGCCAAGTATTACAGTATTGTTCATATGTGTAAACTAAGAATGATTTTCTGTCCTTGAATGCCATCTATAGGTTATTGTTGTTTGAAATGAATTTAGCTGATACTAAGGTGAAAGACAATGGGAAAAATTCAGCTTTGACTTGAGAGGGTACATGTTACATGCACCTTATACACATCACTCATAACCATGGTAGTTTCTGTAGAGTTGTATCACTTACGCTATAGCTGAATTTGGTCTGTTTTCATTCCATAACCTACAAATCCAAATTGCTATGTAATACATTTTCCAAATCCTTCAATTGATATCCAAATGATAGTCTGTTTATCAAAAGTTATTCAATTAATCTCCTGAATATGAATTTATCTCGTTACTAAACATTCAACTGCTCAACACTGAAAGAAGACTGCATCCTTTGGCTGTCTCTCATAGAGCATTTTTCAAAAACTAGTCTCAGATCATCAACATGGAAGTCAATGGAACTACCTTGTCCATAAGAGCTATGAATGTGACCCTACATTTAGAGATGAGGTCTACACAACAGTTTGGATTTGATCCTTCCCTTATTTCACACAGTGTCCCTTTTATTTATCCAATCTCTTCTTAACTACTGGAGAAACTCACCAGTTCTCAAAGCATTATTACCTGGGAAATTCATGAGGAACTAAAGAATTTGGCAAGCTGGTAATTGAATAAACAATGGTTATCATAAAGCAAGGATAATTTGTTCAACTAGAATATGATTCTGCAAGATGCTGCACTTCTCCCAGAATTTCAGGACATGCAGTATCTTGTAAGAAGCCAACAGCAGAATTCAAGACTGAGGCCTTATTAAGGCAATCTCGTCTGATTCAATTATTTAAGATTATACTGGAGAAAATCACATAATACTGGAGATTAAGATTTTTTAATGCTGAGTTGTAGTGGTGGTAGGGAGGAGCATTTTAAATTTTCTGATGAGTGTTTAGTAAAGTATTGAGTAAAATTATACTACATATATTTGGATGCTAAACCACTGAAAGCATGAATGTATGAAGGTTGCTAGATTTTTTTATGAAGGGTAAATGTGGTGTATTCCATTGTAACATAAACATGTCACATAGAGGTTTGATTCATAGATTGATTCATATATTGCTAGGGGTTGGAAGGGACCTTTTAGATCATTGGGTCCAGCCCCCCTGCACTAGGCAGGAAAAGACAACTGGGTCAAGTGACCCTAGTGAAGTGACTGTCCAGTCTCCTTTTGAAGATTTCCAGGGTAGGTGACTGCAGCACCACTGAAGGGAGTTTATTCCACAGTCTGGACACCCTGAAGGCTGTTTAGTTTGAGAACATTTCAAAACAAATGACAGTTAGTCTTTCATCTTTAGTTTTATG